AAATCCTATGTACGTAATCTACGTTTCTGAATACACGCTGCGGCATACCCAAAACAAAGCCTATATACCATCCTTATTTCATATGGCTTAGGACGATGCATCAAAGTACGCGGGTTCACATATGCAGAAAACGTAATACTTCAAGTCGAAGGATAGTTACACCCGTGGTCGCGCTAAAGATGCTTAGAGCATGAACTAAAAGTTCAAGCAACATCTTTAGGATGGGTCAGTCCGGCATCCTATTATCTCTAGATAATATCTGCCCATGTGCGGATGCGAACACACCGTCATTGACTATGAGACTAAGTCAAACATCCAACACACACTAGTCTCACATGCATTAACGATATCCCACTCTCGTTAATACTCGACTATGGACATTTAGATAAATATTTATTTCAAGATGTTAGTCTCCTCAACAGAATAACATTATCTGATAAACATCTTTTAAATATAAATCTAGGAATATAATATTTGTTTACATTAGCATGAGATGTGTAAACATATTATATCTGCCTATACATGATAGAATAACGATAAACAGTTGGCCATCAGGGCACAACTCCAATAGTAACAAGAAGACAATGATGGAACCACTCCCGGAGGGCATTGAGTCAGAGGAGATGCGAGGATGGCAGGCAAATGTTTGGTCATCAGATTTTAAATGTGTCATGATTTGATTATTATTGTACTTCCACATTACTCTGAAAATATTTTTAAATGGGTCACGATCCAAAGTCTGTAAATTTAATATTTATAAGTAATTGTCATTTCAAATGTCAAGCGAAATTTTTATTTAACTCTGGTTTCACCTTAATACGTGTAATTCCAGGTTATACGGATTGGGGTGTTACATCAAGTATCTGTATCACGCGCTCAGATTGACCATCAGTCTCAGGGTACGGTGGAAGGCTGTGCTCAAGTTTAACTTTGTACCCAAGGCTTGCTGGAGTCCCTTCCAGAACTTTGAAGTGAAACTGAGATCTCTGTCGGAGATAATGGACATAGGTACCCCATGCAACCGAACAATCTCGCAGAGGTACAAATCTGCTAACTTCTGTAGGGACATATCCCGTCGAACAGGAAGGAAATGCGCAGATTTCGTAAGATGATCCACAATGACCCATACAACATCATTCTTAAGGGGAGACAAGGGTAGCCCAATCACAAAATCCATCGTGATTCGCTCCCACTTCCACTTAGGAATAGAAGGAAGATGCAACAATCCCGATGGTACTTGATGTTCGGCTTTGACCTGCTGACAAGTCAAGCATCGTGCTGTAAACTCACAAATTTCCTTCTTTATCACAGGCCACCAATAGTTCCCCTTTAAGTCGTGGTACATCGTGTTACTTCCCGGATGTATAGTGTATGCTGACTCGTGAGCCTCACGTAATAGCCGCTCTCTCATGACCCCGCATGGTACCTGGTAACTCGGGTTTGGGTTAATATTTTTTATTCTTTTTTTTGGTATTTTTAGTATTGTTATTGTTTAATTTCCATTTGTTTATCTTAGTTTTAATTTAATTCCTATTTTTACAAACCTTTTATTTCCATTCAAAAATAGTAGTTTTTAAATCATTTTTTTACATTTTATTATTTTATTTTATTTTCCCTGACCCAAAATTATTAGATATCTTATTTTTTGGAGAAAAATGTAACAAAAAGGCCAAAGTGCAGTTCAAGTTTGAAAAGAAGAGATTGAATTTGGGCCGGAGCCCAAACCCAACACAAAAGAAGACCAACCCAGCATTCACTCCCCCAATTTGATTTCACGTCCTCCAGAAGCAGCTTCTTCTTCATTAACGCAACTGCGAAGTAACCGGCGACCAATTCCTCCAACATCTCTTCGCCAAGTTCGCCCAAGCGCTCCAACGGGAAAAAATCTTTCAGCTATAAATTGCGCCATCGCTAAACAACGAAGGGGGGGAGGGGAATCGCACCGAAATAACAGAGCAGCGGCTCTTGCCGCTGCTATTGACGCAACCCACCGGCGGAGATGCAGACGGCGGCCAACGACGGCTTGCCGGCGTTCTACGATGGCAGGTGGCGGCAGCGGTATGGACCTACTCCACCTCCAATTTTCTTGAAATTCTTCATCTTCTTCAACATTTGGTAACCCTTATTTGTCAATTTTTATTTTTCCTCCAATTCTATGTAAAAGTGTTGCTTTTAGTTTAATTTTACATTTTTTGTTTGCTAGTTTGTTCCAAAAATTTTATAACAAAATGGTTGGTTTTCTTTTATGGGGTTTTTTAATGTTTATATTAAATCCCTTATGAATGAAAATTGATTCATACTAGTTTTCTTCAATTATTGTGCAAATTGTTGATGAATTGGTTGAATCGCACGGTTTGATTTCATAAGTAGGTTGGTATGTAGAATTTGGTTCTCATTGAAGCTATTTTAGCTCCATATTATAGTTAAATGATTTCCGAATTCATATGTGATTCTTCGTTGTGCTATGTGTTTTGAAAAATTTTAAGGATTTTGGACTTCTTAGCCACGTAAGTTGGACATTTTCCTTAAGATTCGTTATGAAGTGATTGTTATGTTGTTCGTTTGTTTTGTGTTGATTTTCATAAAATTTAAGGTTGTTTAAGCACAAAAACAATTTTTAAGCTATGTTTTTGAAAATATGTAATGTTTTCTTATGTGAATAGATTACAATTCTTATGCTTGAGTTATTCAAGGAGACCTGCAAAATATTTTCATCATTAGACATTAAAGTTTATTAAAGTGTATCAAATGTTCTTCATGAATACTTTGTGCATGGGAGTTAGAATGAAAGAAAGATTCGCTCTTTTATAAACTTTTTCATCTTTTGGAATCATTGTTTGAGCGCTTGAGGTGAGTGGGGGTTCAAAGTGATCCAAAAGGCCTTTGAATCTTTGACTCCGGGCCTTATAGAGAGTTGACGATCCTCTATATGTAATATGTGGTCAAGGATATGAATCAACTCGAGCCTTTGAGTTCTTTTCTATTCTTAAGTGCGTAAGTTACGTAATATATTGTCTACGTGCCTATTATACGTGTAATGTTCAACTTGTGTTCGTTCTCTCTTTTATTTTGTTTCGGGTTCTTGGCGGTGTTTCTTAGGTTACCTTAGTTGGAGAAGTTGATTATCTTTTGAGCTTGTTTCCCCATTTTTATCAAAAAACCAAAAAAATAAGAAAAATATAAAAAACCAAAAAATACTTACTTTTCATCCAACACCCCCTTTGTGTTTTAAGTTATAAATATACGTTTTTATACTTTATTTACTTTTATATACTTAGGTATTTTTTTTGTTTTTATAAGTTATATTATAAGTTCTTTGTTTATATAAGTTATTTATAAGTTTTTATATTTATATAGTTATAGGTTTTATTATAAGTATTATCATATGTGTAGTAGTTAATTTTTATTTTTTTAAGTGACAATGTGTTTGCATGCTATTTTGATTTCAAAAGTACAAACTTTCTCCGTGGGATCGATCCTTACTTTCCCTAGCTATAGTTTTTATTTGATTATATTGTGGGGGTTAGTTAAGGATATTTTATAATTTTTTAATTTGTTTTGGACCGCACGACAAGTCCTCAACAGTACAACAAGACGGTTGCGGAAAAACAAGATTCCATCAGCACCAACAGTAAACTCAGGTCTCTTCCCACTAGAGACATGGTCCCGTGTCATGGGACAGAACTCGTCGTCCACCTGAGCATTCCAGATTTCCGTATCCAACGTTGGTTGTATATGGAGTTCAGCTATCAGCTTGCGGCTCAAGGCGTCAGCCACCACATTAGCCTTGCCCGGGTGATACTCGATGGTGAAATCGTAGTCCTTGAGAAGTTCTAACCAGCGCCTCTGTCTCAGGTTCAGATCCTTCTGGGTCAACAAGTACCTCAAACTCTTATGATCGGTATATATAAGAATCTTTTCACCGAAGACATAGTGTCGCCAGATTTTCAAGGCAAAAACAACTGCTGCTAGCTCCAAATCATGAGTCGGATAATTACCCTCATGGGGTTTCAGCTGCCTCGAGGCATAGGCAACCACCCTACCTTTTTGCATGAGTACACAACCCAATCCACAAAGAGATGCATCACTGTAGATCGTGTACTCACGACCTGGTTCTGGCTGGATCAGCACCGGGGCTTTAGTCAAACACTCTTTCAGCCGATCAAAACTGCTCTGGCACGCGTCTGTCCATGCAAACCTCACGTCCTTCCGTAGGAGTTTAGTAAGAGGGGAAGCAATCACTGAGAAGTCTTTCACGAACCGCCGGTAGTACCCTGCCAGTCCGAGAAAACTTCTCACTTCCCTAGCATTACGGGGAACCTTCCAATCAACTATGGTAGAAATCTTACTCGGGTCAACCTTCACCCCTTCAGCGGAGATCACGTGACCTAAGAATGTCACCTCCTCAAGCCAAAATTCACACTTGGACAACTTTGCATAGAGTTTCTGCTCCCTCAGGATGGTTAATACTTTTTGCAAGTGGCACGCATGTTCCTCGGCATTCTTTGAGTAAACGAGGATGTCATAGATGAAGACCACGACGAATTGATCCAAGTACGATCGAAAGACACTATTCATTAGAACCATAAAGATAGCAGGGGCATTAGTGAGTCCAAAAGGCATTACGGTGAACTCATAATGTCCGTAACGCGTCCTGAAAGCTGTCTTCGGTATGTCTTCCTTCTTTACTGGAATCTTATGATATCCAGACCTTAAGTCAATCTTCGAGAACACCCTGGCTCCACATAGCTGATCAAACAAATCATCAATGCGCGGTAATGGATAACGGTTTTTAACAGTCACCTTATTGAGCTGCCGGTAGTCAATGCAAAGCCTCATAGACCCATCATTCTTCCGCACAAAAAGGACAGGTGCGCCCCAAGGGGAGACACTTGGGCGGATGAATCCCCTATCTAGCAGCTCCTGTAATTGCGTCTTTAACTCCTTCATCTCTGCTGGAGCCATGCGATAGGGGTGGCCAAAATGGGTTCCGTACCAGGAACTAAGTCAATGGAGAATTCTACCTCCCTTGGGGGAGGCAGACCTGGTAGCTCGTCAGGAAACACGTCAGGAAAATCACGTACGGAAGGAATATTCTTAAGGCTAGGAGGCTCCTTCCGTACATCTTTCACGGTGCATAGGAATGCCTCACACTTCTTTCGGATCAATCTCTTGGCTTGCATATAAGAGATAAACTCAGGCGCCTTAGGAAATATAACTCCCCATCGATCATGATTGTGTCTCCATCCAGTGCTCTCAACCGTACGGTCCTTGAACTGCAATCTACGACTGCCTGGTGCTCGGTAAGCCAATCCATTCCAAGGATAATGTCAAATTCCTTGTATGGAAGTTCAATAAGATCTACGGGAAAGATCTTCCCACGCGCGGTCAAAGGGCATTGTTGGTAGACGTGATGTAGGCTCATATTGTGCCCAAGGGGATTGGACACCAGCATCAGACTCTCCAACTGACCTCTCGCGACAACAGAATTAGCAGGCAAAGGAACACATATATATGACAGTGTAAGCCCAAGGTCAATCAATGCTAACAAATCCGAACCAAAGAGTGTAAACATACCAAGTATGACATCAGGATTAGGATCGACACGCCCTTGCATAGCGTATGTCCTCGCTGGAGCCCTGCCCTGCTGATGTGGTGCAGCCTAAGGCTGCCGCTGTTGCGGGGGTCGCTGAGGCTGTGACCCAACCGTCGAACGCTGACTCTGGGCAGGTCGGGGAGCCATCGTCTGAGTAGATGCTTAGGACAATCCCTCCTGTAATGCCCAGACTGTCCGCATCCTATGCACAACCCTAAACTCCTCCAACACTCCCCTGGATGGTTCCTTCCACAAGATTCACACATTGGATGCTTTGACGGCCTTGTCTTGCTGCTGGATGCCACTGAGTGAGCTGGTCCTGACTTGGCTTTCTTGGACAACTGAAAACCAGACCCACTCAGAGGTCTCTTCCCCGAATAGGCCTTACCAACACTTGCTACCTGCACCAGCATCTTGTTTGCCTTTTGCTCCACTACCAGCTTTGCTCCCTCTCGGGTCCTGACCACCTCCTTAATTAGCCTGCTCATATATGACGCCAAAGTCTTGCCTGGACGCCGTAGACATACCCTCCTGGAGGTTCATGCACATGCCCTTAACAAATCTATCGCAGCGTCTCTTTGGAGTATTCACCAGATCTTGAGCAAACTCTGCCAGGTGATCAAAGAGCTGCCGGTATTCCGGAAGGCTCATGGTCCCCATCTCCAGGTGCACAAATTCCTCTCGTTTTTCCTCAACAAAAGACTCCGGAATGTACTCCTCTCTAAACACGTGATCGAAATACTCCCACGTCAACTGGGGAGGGTGGTCGGCATTCCGTGTGGTGCGTTTCCACCACTCATACGCGTTGTTCTGCAGCAACATCACAGCGAGATCAGCCCACTCACCCACGAGGACCTTTAAGTTCTTGAACACGCGGCGTACGCGCTCTAGCCACCGGAACGCTACCAACGGATCAGCGATGTTCTCCCCGAGGAACTCTCAGCACCATTCTTCCTCAAGCATTTGTTGCATGAGCTGCATCAGGAGAGCAGGATCCATCTGCGGAATCCCAGCAAGTCCACCGTGCGGGGCTTCCTGATGAGGGACATTCTGGTTCTGGTTCGCATTAAGTTGTTGGGGAGACACGCTATCTCCCTCGGAGTGGTTGTCGTTGAGGTTCACGTTCGGGTCCATTCTACTATTTATGATTTTACTAAATTAAGCAACAATTAACAAACAAGGACTTAAGAAATTACCACCTGGAACAGTGATGCGATGAAGTTGTGGATGCTCAACACATGTATATACAATATATGTTAAAATAGTAGTTTTTTTTTCAAAAATTCGTAACATTATTCTTATATATTTTTTTTGAAATTGATAACATTTTTTTATAAACAAAAAGTAACGTTATACGTGAATTTATTTAAGTAACGACCATTCGTGGCCCAAAAATCGTTTTTAAAACCACATGCTCCGATACCAAAATGTAACACCCCAACCCGTGTAACCCGAACCGACGGGTTAGCGAACCGGGTTGTTACTAAATTGGTATTCGCATGCATAATTTTTTTTTAAAATAATTAACTGAATAAATTATAAAAATCATCTGTGAGAGTTCGAAACTAAACCAAAATTTATCGGAGTAATAAAACAAGTCCAAACGTCGCGGAAGCATAATAAAACCAAAGTAACGTCCAACAATCCATATAACCAAATGAAATAATGTAGTTTACTTATTAAAGTAATAGGAGCCATCCACGCCGCACCACCACTTCACTGCCCTCTGGGTTGCCCGTCAAAATATGTGTTCCTACCTGCGTGCAGTCAAACAACAACGACTACACGCTCAGCGAATTGCTGAGTGAAAATATACCTAAGCTAGCATTAACTCACAGAATAGCACCACGTTAGCATACAATTAACAACAACATGTGATCACGGAGAAAAACATCTTAAATAAACATATTTATTTTAACACCTTCCATTTGAATATCATGTCCTTATTTTATTCCACATCAACTACTTTGAGTCATGGCACCCCAAGCGATGCTATAAAAGGCCAGCTCAGAAACCCAAAGGAGATTCACTTTGGGCGGGTTGAAGCCCCTATCCCTGCGATGCTAGGACAGGTCGCGGACTTGCGTACGTACGGTTTTAACCCAAGACCCTTGGGGGTGCGACGACGCCCCGCAAAGGCCAACTTCCTAGCATATCCTATTGGTGATTCAATAAGTCAATCAAATTCAGGCCTGCCTAACTATACTAGGTGGCATAATTCCTATTTATCATTCATAATCCACAATATTTACCAAATAGATCAATTTAATTTAGATCTCAGTTCACAATTCACAACAAGTCACGTAGCAGCCTATCCGGGCCAAAGACCCACGATTACCGTCATGCATAATCAAACAACCCGAATTGCAATTAACCCAATTTACCTGCACGGAGTCGAGACCAAGGAATCGATCCTCGGGCCCGCTGCCCCCGCCGGACAGTATCATTTACCACCAGATCAGCCGACAACCCGCCGGACCGACCCGGCAGCCCCAACCCGCTACCCGTTCAGGCAGCCCCACTCAACCGGCCCAACGCTGCTGGCCCAATGTAGCCGGCCTAACAGCCGGACCCGCCGGCCTAGCACCCCGGACAGTCGGCCCAACGACCCAGTCAGCCCCAACTACCCGGACAACCCCAATTGAATCCAAACCAACCCGAATTAACCCAATTTAACCAATTGGGTCCAAATTGGACCCGCCGAAAACTACCCGTACTTCGGCCGTAGCCACCACCGGCCAGCCACCAGACAATCGCCGGAAAACAGCCCCCCAACACACCCCCAATCCAATCTAATGCACAATCAACCACAAATTTCACAATCAAACACAAAATTTCTACCACAAGATCCTAAATTACGAATTAATGCCAACTATAGGTATAGAAATCACGAATCACCTCGAATTATTGAAGAATTAGAAACCAAATCGAAAGGGGAATGCTCGCCGCTGCACTCCCTGTTGCGGCCGAATCTAATGTGCGACGGGGGAAGGAGGAACGACGACGGCGTTCAGGCGGCTCAGCAGCGGCGTCTCTCTCTCTGGCGGAACGACGAACATACGTGGAGCGCAGAGGGACCGACAGAAACGTACGAGAGTGAATGTGTGTTTGTGTAACCCCTCCTGCTTTTAATATAGGAATTAATTTTCTTTGGGGCCAGTTAACACTTTCTAACCGGTCAGGATGTATTTAGATTAAATTACCTTATTCGGCATTCGTATCTTAGGCCTAACGAGTCCGATTCTCAATCCGTTCGTGCGGTCGGGTTCAGAACAGCGAGCCCTACAACGTAGGTCAACTCTCATATTAAATACGCAAATTAGAAAATAATCTTCATTTTTACCGACTTAGTAATTAATTAATTATATAAATTAATTAAAAATACCAAGCCAGGTTTTGAGGCGTTACAAGACTCATGTGCGTCGTCTGCATGCAGCGGAGATGCAGATGCTACGATGGATGTGTGGAAAGACAAGGTTGGATAGGATTTCAAACGAATTGAAGTTATCCAACGTCACGTAGGCATGGCGTCGGTGGAAGGTAAGTTCCGGGAAGCGAGGTTGAGATGGTTTGGTCATGTGAGACGACGGGATGCTGACACCCCTGTACGGATATGCGAGAGGATTACGGTTATTGGGGGAAGTGGGGGAAGGGGTAGACCTAGAAAGAATGGGAAGGAGGTGATTAGGCAGGATTTAGGACTTCTCACCCTGACTGAGGATATGGCTTTAGATAGGAACCTTTGGAGAACTAGGATTAGAGTAGCTGGATCGGCACTCGGTGCTGTAGAGGTTTTTGTAATGTGTTGTGTTTGCTTGGAATCTTTTGCTATTGCTTGTAGGACTTTCATTTCATTATACTTGGTGCTTTGTCCGTGTTGTACTGTGTTCCCTACCATATTTTTTGTGCAGGTTGAGCCGGGGGTCTCTTGGAAACAGCCTCCCTACTTTTGAGTAGGGGCAAGGTCTGCGTACACACATATTGTTGCTTGCTCGCCAAGAAAGGTATATTGTGGCTAGCTCTTGGATTAATCCATCAACCTACACATATCGTTGCTTGCTCGCCAAGAAAGGTATATTTCTAAACAATAACTTATAATAATCATAAAAGGTCATGGGTGGATCTACGTTTGGACCTAAAAATTTTATATTTCTGCTGCCCTATCCAAGCGTAGAACCGAACAAAGCGGTCCCTAAAGAGCAGCCCTCCACTACCATCAATGGTGAAGTCTTGTCTCTCCCCCTTAGAGACAAGCTCATGAGTCTTTGCGCAAAAATCAGCCGTACAGATCTCACTATCCAGTGTCGGCTGGAGTCGTAGTTCAGCCATAGTCTCCGACTCAAGGCATCGGCCACGACATTGGCCCTACGTGGGTGATAGTCGATAGTAATCGTAGTCCTTGATCAATTCCAACCATCTCCGTTGTCTCGGGTTCAGCTCCTTCTGGGTTAGCAAGTACTTCAAACTCTTGTGATCGGGGTGGATGTAGGTAGTCTCACCAAATAAATAGTGCCGCCAAATCTTCAATGCGAAAACCACCGTTGCTAACTCCAAATCATGTGTAGGGTAGTTACCCTCGTGAGGTTTCAACTGTCGGGAGGCGTAGGCCACAACCTTACCCTCTTGCATAAGAACACATCCAAGTCCACTACGTGATGCATCACTGAAACTGTGTAGTCCTTGCCAGGAACTGGCTGACCTGCACCAGTACCGGTGCCTCTGTCAAGCACTTCCTTAGTTTCTCGAAGCTCTGCTGACATGCGTTTGTCCATGCAAATTTCACCTCCTTCTTCAATAGCTTTTTCAATGGCGACGCTATGGATGAGAAGCCCTCCACGAAGCGCCGGTAATATCCAGCTAAGCCGAGAAAGCTCCTCACCTATCGTGCATTCCTCGGAGTCTTCCACTCCGTTATCGCTGATATTTTGCTAGGGTCAACCTTGATGCCCTCATGGGAAATCACATGCCCAAGGAATGTGACTTCATCGAGCCAAAACTCACACTTTGACAGCTTGACATAGAGCTTGTGCTCCCTTAGCACACCGAGTACTGTCTGCAAGTGTTTCGCGTGCTCCTCTGGTGTCCTAGAATACACCAAGATGTCGTCGATGAATACTACCACAAAATGGTCCAGGTAGGGATGGAAGACACTGTTCATCAAATCCATGACGATTGCTTGAGCATTCGTCAATCCAAACGGCATCACCGTGAATTCATAATGTCCATAGTGCGTTTGAAAGGCTGTCTTCGGTATGTCTTCTTTCTTCACAGGGATCTGATGATAACCTGATCGAAGATCTATCTTCGAGAACACCGTAGCTCCCTTGAGCTGATCAAACAAATCATCAATCTATGGTAATGGGTAGAGGTTCTTCACTGTAGCCTTATTCAACTGCCTGTAGTCGATGCACAATTTCATGGATCCATCTTTCTTCTTGACGAAGAGAACCAGCGCTCCCCACGGAGACACGCTCGGCCAGATGAATCCCTTGTCGAGTAGTTCTTGCAATTGAGCCTTCAGCTCCTTCATCTCCGCAGGTGCCATGCGGTATGGTGTTGCAGAGATTGGCTCCGTTCAAGGAACCAGATCAATCGAGAACTCCACTTCCCTTGGCGGTGGCAAGCCAGGGAGGTCGTCGGGAAACACATCGGGGAAGTCACATAATGTAGAGATATCCTTCTGCTTGGGGGTCTCCTTCCTGGTATCGTGAACGTGGCACAAGAATGCTACGCATTTCTTCTGGATCAGTCGCTTTGCCTACATATAATACATAATTTCCAGAGGCTTGGGGAACAATTCCCCCTTAACCTCTACCACGTCACTATCGTCAGTCTTCAGCCGTACAGTGCGCAAACCACAGTCAATTATCGCTTGACGCTCGGGCAACCAATCCATACCAAGGATAATATCAAATTCCTTGTATGGTAGGTCGATTAGATTTGCGGATAACCAACGTTCGTGGGCTGTCAACGGACAGTTGCGGTACAAGTGATGGAGTCGCATGCTATGCCCTAACGGATTAGATACTACCATAGGGTATTCCAGATCGCCCCTCTAGATATCAGATTTCTCAGGCATAGGAACACATATGTAAGACAACGTATGTAGATCCTGGGTTAATTAATGCAAGTATACGAGTGTCGAATAATGCAAGCATACGAGTGTCGAATAATGAAAGCGTAATCAAGATGACGTCACGATTCACTTCGGTATGCCCCTGCATGGCGTAGGTGCGTGCAGGCGTGTGTCCTTGCTGACGGTTTTGGTTCTGATCCTGTCCTCTCGGCGGGTTTGAGCCCGCGGTAGACCTCTGGCCTTGTACTGGCCTCTGTCCATCTGTTTGTGTCTGCACCTCTGCTATAGGGAAGGCACGTCCGGGGTTAGTTGGGCAATCCTTGCAGAAGTGTCCTTCCTTCCCGCACCCCAAACATAAGCCCTGCACGAACCAGCATTCATAGCGTGGTTTCTTTCACAAAGGTTACACACTAGATGCCTGGAAGGTTTGCTTTGATTGCTCGCCGCCTGCAACTGAGCCATTGCGGACTTGGTCTTCTTGAAGTTTTGGGTACTCTTAGTACCTCCAAAGGGTCTCTTCCCGCTCGGCGCTGCACTGATAGTGGGTCACTGGCTAAAAACTGTCCCTCCAGCACCCATGCTTGCCTTCAGATCGTCCACGGCTTTCTCCGTGCTGAGAACTCAGTGGTGACCACGGTAGAAACATAAGGTCGCATGTCAGGGCGCAACCTTTTCTTGAACTCTTCAATCCTGTCAGCAGGTGTGGACACCAATGTGGGTGGAAACTGAGCCCTTAGGGATGTTCAACACAAAGCTCTGATACCAAATATTATATCTAAGCTCTGGTTTTGTCGGTATTAAGCTCGGATTTAAGGAACAAGCTCCTTCTTTTGCAGGATGGGTTGATAATCGATTGTCTAAGTAAGATAATCAATTATTTTCTGGTTCAGTTTCTTGGATTTTCGGGAGGGATTGATAGTCGATTATCAGTATTATGATAATCGATTGTTTCAGGCTGCAAATGTTTAATAGTACGGATAATCGATTGTCAAAGGGGACAATCGATTGCTGAAGGCTGCAGGTTTTTTTTAACGACGACGGATAATCGATTGTCAATCAACATAATCGATTATTGGACAGAATTCTGGGCAGGAAGAAGTGTGTTTTGTGGGGAAATGGCTTGGAAAGATATGGAGATGATGAAGGAGTTCTTTTGGTACTTTTAATATGAGGAAAGAAAAGGGGATTAAGGATAGAAATGGTGGGGAAAGAAATGGATAGAAAATAATGATGGATAAAACCAAGTTGGTGTTAAGAGATATTACACACTCTTATCCTAACTTGGGGTTTGAATCTAGAATTTAATTAAGATATAACACACTTAATCAAATATCTAGAACCTAAAACTCACACTTAAGATAACCACTTCTTAAGATATAGAATTAGGAATTTGGCTAAAATAGCATCACACTATTTTATAAATACTCAAAGAGTAAAAGGGAGTTTTAATATTCAAAGTTGATGTTACAATGGCCATAAGGCCTGAGTTATATAGGTAGGGGAAGGGGGAGGGGGGGAAGAAAAGCACAATACCTTGAATGTAGACATTAGGAAACTTCCTAGCAACATCCACCTCCAAACATGGGGTAATCTTTCTTCAATC